TTCGATATCCATAATTATTTTGAAATATTAAAGACACATAATTAAGAATGCACTTATTAAAAGAAAACAAATTGCAACTAGAGAGCTATTAATTAATCATTTTGAATGGTCAAACGTGACACAAAAAAAGGACATAGTGTCATCAAATTTAAATTAGGGTACGTCTTTATATTAATATGTATGAACAAGTTGCATACTAGCTACATAAATAAACCAACAACCACATAATAAAAACTAAAGTTTTATGTGTGGATTTTTTATTTTATTTTTTACATGTGGGATATGGCTAAGTTAACATTTCCCTAAATTTACACAAATAGGTTGTATAACAAAAATATTGATAAAGAGAGGATTTCAGATAGAGTAGCTCAAATTGAATTCTCTATATCCCTAACCATGGAGTGTTAATGCTCATAGTCGATATGGAGCCAACTTAGTTGTTGTTCTCGCAAGTATTTTTTAATAAATTTTGATAAAATGTGTAGTTAAAAAAGTGATAAAAACTGTGGGTCGAATATGCGTGATTAAAATAATTATTTTTTAAATTAATTTTTTCCTTTTATGGAAAATAAAAAAAGTTATAAAACAATTTTGAAGAATAGTCCAACGTGACATGCATAAACCGGTGGCGCCGGTCAAAGGTTGTCATACCTCCTCTTCAATCATTTCCCTCTCTCTCCAACTCTCGCTATTTCTCTCCTATTTCTCCCTCCTCTCCTCTTCCCTTCCCTTCTTCTTCTTCTTCATCTCTCTATATAACCCAAGTAGCTGTTGAAGAAATTGTTTTACTTTGAAAATTAAATTTTGTTGAACTCTGAAGAATTATTTTGAATTATCACTGCTGGTTTTTTGGGTTTCGACTCAAAGTTTTGGTGCAGACAGAATGGCTGTAAGTTTACTATATTTCTTTCTGGTTAATGTTGTATTTACTGTTATTAAGATTTCGAAGTGTGATTTTCTTACTGTGTTTCGTACTGAATTTTTGGTATTGCCTGATTTGATCTCTCTATGTCAGGATATTGTGTTTGCGTATTGAAACAAATTTTCTTTAAGAATTCTGGGTATTTTATATTTTTGATGTTAAATTGTTTGGTCTCCTGGATGGACAAAAGAATGATAATTGTTCGGTCCGCAAACACATAATAACCCCAAAATCAAGAAATAACCGTGTGAAAAATAAAAGAACACAGACTTTTCACCCACTAAAGAGTAGGATGTTTACGTGGTTAAACGCTACCCATCCATTTAGCATCCAATGTAGTGGATATGGCTCGAATACTAAAATCAATATCAATATCAAGAGTCAGGGCACACAGTACTCTTCACTAAATTTGATGTTTCTTGTTTTGTTTGGTCATTTGTGGGTGAAGTATTCCGAATTCTTCGGTTCATGTGTAGATTTATCAGTCAATTGTTTTGTTGAAGATCTCAATAAGTCAATCTGCTTTTGTAAAATTTGCCAAATTTTCTAGATTTCATGAAGAATTGGATCGAATTCCATCGTTTGTTAATTAGAAAGAATGTTTTATGTTGATTCTCTAACTTCAGTAGAGAGGTTCAGATTTTAGACGGGATTTAGTCTTTTTTATGACTAGGTGAATATCTGCATCGACTACTAATTGAAAGTGTTTCTTCTTATTGTCGATGCAGCATTCAAATGTACCAAAATTCGGCAACTGGGAAAGCGAAGACAATGTTCCCTACACAGTCTACTTTGAAAAGGCAAGGAAAAATCGAGGTGGGAAGATGATAAATCCGAATGACCCTGCAGAGAATCCCGAAATCTTCCAGAATGCTGATTCTTCACCTCCAGATCAAGCTCCAGCACTGCCCCCTGCTCCTCCGTCAAAACCACAAACTAGACCCGAGGAACCAAGGGTGAGCAGGGAAGAAGGTGATTTCAGGCAGTTCAGAAATTCTCCAGCCCAGAGTGAAAATACGGGTCAGAGGACGTCTAACGAATCAAATTATGTAGGCCGTGGAGTGAGTTCTGGTGGACAAAGGAGGGCAAGTACAGGTTCGGAGCACAGCATTGAGCGGTCCCCACTTCATCCACATCACCAGAGTGAAAATACGGGTCAGAGGACGTCTAACGAATCAAATTATGTAGGCCGTGGAGTGAGTTCTGGTGGACAAAGGAGGCCAAGTACAGGTTCGGGGCACAGCATTGAGCGGTCCCCACTTCATCCACATCACCAGGCCAAGATAACAGGGAGAGGTAGTGGATCTCCTGCTTGGGATGGAAAGAACTCATATGACAGCAGTCATGGTACCCCTGGAAGATCTCGGTTAAAGCCGGTTCAAGTAGATGAAAGTGTAAGTGTTCTCAGCAATTTAATTGTCTGTTTTTCAATCAGTACGCAGTTATTATGCAGTTGATCGCTAAGCTCGACTGGTTTCCACCTTTTAATCGAATGCATTGCAAATAACAGCCCGATAGAGGTGCTGCTGTTCCAGTATTTGGCGAATGGGACGAGAATGATCCTCAATCTGCCGAAAATTTTACTCACATTTTCAACAAAGTGCGAGAGGAAAGGAATAACGGGGCTGGAAATGTGTCGGGCACTCCAAAGCATCCATCTTACGGCGATAAAAATCAACAGTCCAAGAATCAAAAGGTTTGTCAATCAAGTTCACTTTTCAAGCAACTGATGGCCTCTTAAGCTCTTTGATTTTGATTAAAAATTTGATTCGGCCTTACCCTTCTCGTTTCTTTTGTGCAGTCGTGCTGCTTTCCGTGGTGTTAAATTATGAAGATTTCCTATTTCCTTCGAGCTTTCAAGCTACTATGAATACGAAAATAGCTTGGAAAGCTCTTCCGATGCAGCGATACTACATTTATTCCATGTAATAGTGTGTGCCTTGGTACAATAACTTCATAGATTGCTGGTTCATCATTTCTGAGCTATCCACTATTTTCCAGTTTGCTCTTTCAGTTTTCTGTGTTAATTACTTGACCGAAAGAGAGAACATTGGGAAATTCTTTCATTCCTGTAGTCTAGTATTCGAATTGTTTTAGCTTCTATTTCTTTTCTTAATATAATCGAACTTGTATCGTTCCACCCGTTATATTACAAAGAAAATGCATTGAATTGCTTGTTAATTGAGAAATAAACGCATGGATTAGTCGACACAATGTAAGACAACTTATGATATGTTAGATTATCTCCAGTGGTTTGCATCAATTTGGTGCAACTTTCACACCAATTTGAGGAGTTATTTCCTTTATTTTCTTATTAATTAATTCATTTCAGAAATTATTTAATTACAAATTATATTATTACTAGAATTACTAAATTAAAAATTATGTTTAATGAACAAAAATATTGCATTTATTAATAATTTTTTTTAAAAAAATTTATTAATGAGTAATTTTATTTTACTATATTAATTAATTATTTCTTGATCAGAATTTAAATGTAGTAGCTAAAATTTAAATCAAATATAAGTAAAATTTAATATTGAATGAATTAGATTTTTTTGTAATATAAAATGAAGGATGCGATGGAATAATGAAAACCTTCAAAATGAATCAAATGAATAGTGTTACATCAAATTTGGTTTTGGTATAACGCTATTCATTACACCAAATTGATGTGGTGTTTTACTGTACCATTGAAGAGAATTTTTACACCAAATTGATTTGATGCAAGTGATTTATCATGCTATGAGTGTGTTTGGTTTTAAAAGAACGTATTATTGAATAGTAGATTGATGGAGAATGTGTGATTAAAAATGAAGGAAAAGTTATTGATGTGATGAAAAATATTATTTTATTGAACAATGTATGATTGAAAATGAGTAGAAAAATGAGAATGAAAAAAATAATGTGTACCAAACAG